TTAGTATTATGGCTAATCCTGCCATAACCTCCATTTTATGGATTTGGAAACTGAGACACAGAGAAGTCAGATAACTTGCCCCTAAATCACACAGAAACTCACAATTGGATTCACACATTTGTAGGACTTCACAATTCAAGCTCTTAAATACTCACTTCCATTGTGTCTCCTATTCAAACATCTCCAGACTTTCAGTTACAAACAGGACTCAAACTATTTCAGCTGGCATGGAGGCCCTCCTCCATCTAGCTCAGATCGCCTTGCCAGCTCTGTCCCCTATCTCCTTACTCAAATGAGGAGCCTTGTCTTCTATCTCCTTATTTTTCCCAGGAACCTGTCCTGGCGCCTGGTTCCCCTATGTGTTCCCTAACTTGCCCCCATCGAATGACTTACCGTATAGAATAGTAAAAAGAAGAACTGATTATATTCCTGTGTGCTCCTTTAGACTGTGGAGCTTCCTTAATATAAGAGCAGATTCATGACATACACTAGATTTTCTTTTTTATTTTTAATTTTTTATTTCTTTTCAGCATAACAGTATTCATTGTTTTTGCACCACACCCAGTGCTCCATGCAATCTGTGCCCTAATACCCACCATCTAGTTCCCCCAACCTCCCACCCCTGCCCCTTCAAAACCCTCAGATTGTTTTTCAGAGTCCATAGTCTCTCATGGTTCACCTCCTCTTCCAATTTCCCTCAACTCTCTTCTCCTCTCCATCTCCCCTTGTCCTCCATGTTATTTGTTATGCTCCACAAATAAGTGAAACCATATGATAATTGACTCTCTCTGCTTGACTGATTTCACTCAGCATAATCTCTTCCAGTCCCGTCCATGTTGCTACAAAAGTTGGGTATTCATCCTTTCTGATGGAGGCATAATACTCCATAGTGTATATGGACCACATCTTCCTTATCCATTCGTCCGTTGAAGGGCATCTTGGTTCTTTCCACAGTTTGGCGACCGTGGCCATTGCTGCTATAAACATTGGGGTACAGATGGCCCTTCTTTTCACTACATCTGTATCTTTGGGGTAAATACCCAGTAGTGCAATTGCAGGGTCATAGGGAAGCTCTATTTTTAATTTCTTGAGGAGTCTCCACACTGTTCTCCAAAGTGGCTGCACCAACTTACATTCCCACCAACAGTGGAAGAGGGTTCCCCTTTCTCCACATCCTCTCCAACACATGTTGTTTCCTGTCTTGCTAATTTTGGCCATTCTACTGGTGTAAGGTGGTATCTCAATGTGGTTTTAATTTGAATCTCCCTGATGGCTAGTGATGATGAACATTTTTTCATGTGTCTGATAGCCATTTGTATGTCTTCATTGGAGAAGTGTCTATTCGTATCTTCTGCCCATTTTTTATATGATTGTCTATTTTGTGTGTGTTGAGTTTGAGGAGTTCTTTATAGATCCTGGATATCAACACTAGATTTTCAAAGGATTCCGTGACTCAGAATAGAGTAGGAACCCATCGTTAATGACGCTTTATTCCTTATTTCCTTAGGTCTGTTTTTCTTTTCTTTCTCTCTTTCATTCTTTTTCTTTATCAGATAGAAATACTTCTGAACTATAAAATCAATACAGGGATGGCTTGGTGGTTCAGTGGGTTAAGCGTCCACCTTCTGCTCAGGTCATGATCCCAGAGTCCTGGGATCGACTACTGCATGGAACTCCTTGCTCAGCGGGAGCCTATTTCTCCCTCTCCCTGCCACTTCCCCAGCTTATGCTCTCTCTCTCTCTCTCTCTCTCTCTGACAATAAATAAATAAAATCTTTAAAAAATAAAAATAAGTAAACAAAAGCAATACAAACATTAAGAAAATATTTAAGAATACAATTTAGTGAGAGGGAGAGAATCTTGCCCCTCCTTGTGCCAACCCAGCCCCCCACACGTACCCAAACATGCTGAGCAGCTCCTCTATAAGATTTGGTATATATCTCTCCAGACTCCTGTGTAATAAAATAAAAATATTCCTATTTGTAACTTTTTACTAGAGCTTCTACCAATCAGTGAGTAAAAAAGTTGAACTTCCCAATTAAAAAATGGTTAGAAGATATAAACAATCTTTTTAAAAAATAATGCATATATTGGGGAAAAGGTGTTAAACCTTAGTAACATATAGAAACAGCATGCATTGTTTTGTCTATTAGAATGGTATGTGCATGTGTGCACACATGTGCGCATGCACACACGCGTGCGCGCACACACACACACACACACACTGCTCAGGGCAGGTCATATCTGGAAGGAGCAGACCTTCTCTCCTCCTGCCTGGGAAATGAGAATTGCTACACTTTTACTCTTTTCCTTTTCCTTTGTGTCTTTGTTCTGTGGGTTTTTGAGTTTAAGAACTTAGAAGTGGAATCTCTCCCAGTTGTCTGCCTCGTGGGTATCATGGTTCAAGCTGTTATCTCACTAACCCTCCCTTCTAATTTTTCTTCATTCTAAAAATTTATTTTGTTCCACCTTATTATGTAAGGTAAATGTAATTCCACTTTTGGAATTTTGACCATTTGTCTTAAATTTCCTGTCTCCTATTACTTTCGTTCACCTTTTATAGTTCCTGTGTGAATTCTTTTCTCTTTTCTATCTTCCTTTCTGATATTAAGCCTATTTTAGCCTCCTGAATCATTGTATTTTTAACCTCTTTTGTTCTCTTGCTCTCTCATTTGTGTATTGACTTGGTGATTGTTGTATATTGGGCAGCATGCTCTACACTACAATGTCCTCAGGTGCCCAGTGTGTTACACATTTACCTCCTGTAAAGTGATCAGCAAGATTGTGGGCACAGTGCACGTGAGAACTCTTAGACACCACCATGGTAGATAAGAGGGTTCTGTGAGGTCATTTGACCTATGATTACACAGTTGACTATGCTGTGAAAGTTTCTGGTCCAGTTCTTTTGGACTAGAAATATACATGGGCAGAGAGCTGGTAGAGCTGAAACTCTGGAAGAGGTCATTTCAGTAAATGCTAATGGGGCACTGTGTCCAGGCCCAGTACAAGCTGAGATTCTAGGCTGTATAAGCACATTGTTTGTTAGAAGTCCTTCAGCTTGGGGCGCCTGGGTGGCTCAGTGGGTTAAAGCCTCTGCCTTCGGCTCAGGTCATGATCCCAGCATCCTGGGATCGAGCCCTGCATTGGGTTCTCTGCTCTGCGGAGAGCCTGCTTCCTCCTCTCTCTGCCTGCCTCCCTGCCTGCTTGTGATCTCTCTGTCAAATAAATAAATAAAATCTTAAAAAAAAAAAAAAAGAAGTCCTTCAGCTTAACCTGAGATTTTTAGCCATTCCAAAAAAACATCTTTTCTGGGTATTCTAAATTAGTCAAGAAATCCTTTTTATAAAGCCCTAAGAGGTTCATCCAGGCGGTCAGCAAGATGAAACAATGAACAAAAAACACATTTGCTTGATGTTCATGGACCCATTCCTGGCATTTATAAGCAAATCTTGCCTCCATCCTTTCCAGCAAGATAGGACATACTGTGCTAGAGGCGAAGATTGTTGGAAGACTCTGGGCTAAAAGGACAAGGGAGGCATTGAGTTCAGGCTTGGTTTTTAATGTGGGAGCAGGATGGTGGAATGAGACCGGTGTAATCCATTGAAGTTGCTCTGATGAGGAGGGCACTGGGGTCCGAGGCACTGAGGGTGGCAAAGGGGAACACGAGGGCATAGGGATCGGAAAGGAGGGGCTGCAGACACGAGCAGGAAATGGAACCCTTCTGTTTGCTACCACTGCCTGCAGCTAGCCACAGCCGTTGCAGATGAGAGGCCAGGATAGGGTCTACTGAGAGTCATCTCTTGAAGGAACAAGTCAGGAAATACCTTGATTAGTAGCCATTCACTCTCATCCAGCTCACTTGCACATACCTGCATATTTGTGCGTACTTGTGACACACCACACACTCTTCTGTTCTCTTCCTCCCACTCTCTCCCTCCCTCCCTCTCTTTCTCTCCCACTAAACTCTAAGGGTCTGGTGCCTTCTCAGGCTTGAGAAGCAAATCTTATATAATGCCTGACAAATTCCCTCTACCACCCAACAGCTTTGTTACCTTGGTGACATTACTTGGGCTAGGACTCATTTTCCTTTTCTGAAAGACAAGGAAGATCATTAATGCCAGAGGGTGGTTGTAAGATTAAATAAAACAAACAGTGAAAAGGGCCTCACATGGCACCCTGTGTCTGTGTGCCTTCCTCCAGCACATCACCCATGTGCTCTCGTCCTCTCTGTTGCCATGAGCCCAGTCATTCCTCAGAGACTCAGGCAGCTGTGCGCCAGGTACCAGAAAACCAAGTGCCTTTCACACAGTTGCTTTCATTCTTCCTCACCAAACTCTTTGAGGGAGTTTTGTTTTGTTTTTTCCTTTCTATAGCTGAAGCTCGAAAGAATAAAAAAAAAAAAAAAGTGAAACAACTTTCCCAAGAGCCCACAGCGAATGAATCATAAAGCTAAGGTGCCCACATTAGTCAGGAACTAGAGTGCTTTTCCCCATAGGTGGCCCCAGCTAAGACTTGAATTTTTAGCCATCTAGCACATGTTGAGGAAAGGGACATTGTCTTCTACTTCAACACTTATGATTTACTAAAAAGTCCATGATTGCAACTCCAGACTTACACTAAAAATATCAGCCTTCTTTGGCCTGTCACGTGTTCTGAATTATCTCCCCTCACTTAACTCTAAGCTAAGATGCTCCTGGGTTAGAGACCTTGTTTGTTTTATTATAGTTACATCTTCATGCCTTGTTCTTGGGAGAGTGGTGGATGCTCACTCAAGTTGTGTAGGTTGAATATATGAATAAATATTTATAAAGAACATCCACATCCTGTAGTGAATTCAATCCAACTCTAGTAGAGAGGAGGGGAAAGGGAAACAGAGAAGAAATGTTCCCATCATGCCAAGGTACACACTCTCCTCAGTACAAGATCTTCCCCAGCTACACAAACCCCCTCCATTCCCAGACACACAGACATGTACATATTCAGTTGTGACTATTTTTCAGTTTGTGAAGAAATACGGAAACATTTTTAGCATGCAGCTTGGTGACATGCCTGTAGTTGTCATAACTGGATTGCCCTTGATCAAAGAAGTCCTTGTTGACCAGAACCAAATCTTTGTGAACCGCCCTGTGACTCCTGTCCGAAGACGTATCTTTAAGAGCAATGGTAAGTTTCTTAACCAATGTAAGATGGCTGTGTTTGATATTTTATGATCTGTTAAAGATGCCTCTGTGACTGTAATTCTCCAACACTCTCATGGAGCAGGCCCATTATAAAATTTCGGAAATTAAAGCTGGATCCTGGATGCCCACAATTCCCTACTGAATACCAGGTATTCAGTTCTTAGAGAACCTGGCAGGTTCTGTCAGGAATTTAGAAGAAGCTGTGTCTCCTGCATGAACTCACTCTGGAAACACTGATGAACAAGTAATTGCATTACTCGGTGATGGCAGAGAAAGAGGCAATGCATTTTCGTTCTCTCTTTCTGCTTCCTGCTCCAATCTCTTCCCTTAGGCAAATCGATGCAGATCTGCTTCCTTCTGCTGCTTATGTAAGTCCCTCTTCTTGCCTCTAGTTCAGTGCTTTCTTGTTAGGGCTGTTACAGTATCTTAAGCCTTCCATTCTGTGTTAGAAAACTTTGGCAAGAATACTTAAAATTGTCATTAATAGATATAAACACTACTGTATGTTGGCTAACTGAACATAATAATTGAGTGAATGAATGAATGAATAAAATCTCTGTAAACCCCCCAAAAATAAAAAATAAATTAAATGTTTATTCAGTTTCTTTATTGGCTATATATATTCAAGTTTTTGTGTTATTTCTTAAGTTACTTTCAGTAATTATTTCTTAGAAAATTCATTTAAAAATAATAAATGCAAAACATTTAAAAATCTAAATGGATAACTCAAATCTATTACTCTACCAAAGCACCATTTCTTTCAGTTGCTTCCCAGTTCCTTTTTGATATAGTTAATCTTCCAACACTACCAGGCACTACCAACACAACAGTGAGTAGTGCAGATAAAATCTGTGTCCTTAGGTAACTTATTCTATTCAGAAAGATTGCATCAATTAGCTCTCATAACTTAAAACATCATTTTTATTAAGATATGTACAGGATGCATTTATTAGGGGCATCTAACCTAGTCCTTGGATTCAAGGAAAGCTAATATAGATAAATGACAATCAAGTTAACAAAATGAAGAGGCAATCGGGCATACAGACTAGAATAGAAAAAGTTCTTGAGATGGGAAGAACAACAGTGAACTTGAGGAAGTAAAAGGTGGCCAGTGTGGCAAGTGCAGGGATTAAATGGAGATAACGGAAGGAAGATGGACTTCTTGAGCTTGGCCAGGAATTGTTCACACAAGTTCTTGTTAAGTGTTTTGGGTTTTATGCTAATAACAATGGAAACTCTTGAATGGTTTTAAGTAGATGAAGGAATCACCACATTTACGTTGTACATTTTAAAATCTTATGTAGTTTGCCCTGTAGAAAATGGCATACAGGGAGCAAGAGACTATGGTAGCATTTTAGGTTAGAAAAGGTTGCAGTGTAGACTAGGGAGAAGGCAATAAATGACAATAGAGTAGATTAGACCAGGTTAGTAGTAGTGAAGATTCACAAATTTAAGGTATCCAGGGGGGTAAATCCAATAAGATATGATGACCTGAATGGAGATGGAAAGCTGAATGAGGTGAGGTAGACACCAAGTGGGTAGATAATAGAAAGGAGGAATATTTGGAGTAGGACAGATGTTTAGCTTGGGTGTGGAGTTGCATGGAGAACATCATGAATCCAATCATGGATATGCTGAGTTTGAAGGGCTTTTACATAGGCAAAGCCAGTCAAACAGTGGTGTATGTGTCTGGAGCTCAGGGACAGAAATAAATATTCACTATCAATAGATGCTATTTAAAAATTTAGGAGTTGATGAGGTTTCCCAGGCATGGGGTTTTGGGGAAGAAGAGAAGAGGCTTTATAGCTTATCTTGAAGAACTCCATCATTTCAAAATTTGATAGAAGAGGATGAGCTAGCAATAGATACGGAAAGGAGGAAAATCTGGAGGGTGTGCTGTCCTGAGCACCACTGGAAGGGAGGGCTTCAGGAGAAAAGTGCCTCATACTGCTGAAAGGTCAAGAAAGATAAGGTTGAAAAGTTTCCCTGTATTTGACAAAGATGGCTATCTCATGCAGATTGTGGAGAAAAAAAGTCCAGCACTCAGAGGAGTTGGAGTATGCTCTGGAGGTGAAGAAAAGAAAGGAGGGTGGCCTTATCTGTGTTGTAAAACATATGAATTTTTGAATATAACAAGATTTTTTTTTCCTTTACCTTTCCATGTGCTATTCTTTCTGCATGGAATAGTCACTGTTCCTTGCTTTCTTGAGTCATTCCTTATTTTTCAAGGTCCAGTTTAGATAAGACGTTCTTGGAAAGCCTTGCCTCCTTATGAGTGTGTATTTTATCTTATCCATGAGTGCATTCTTAGTATGTAGCATAAAACAAATATTTCAGTATATTTATGTGACCAGTAATCAAAGCATGGCCTTTGGAATCCAACAGACCTGAATTTGAATGCCTCTTCAGCTGGTTACTGCGACCCTGCAAAGTAAGGGTTATACCCATCTTATAAAGTTTCTGTTAAGTGCTAACTTACATAATGCAGTAAAAAACACTCAGGTCTCTGCACTACCAGCAATGAGGCTAGCCACTATATCTACTACTTTGGGATTATTTTCCTGAATAGTTTTCAAGTGGCTTAATGCCCTTCGTCTTCCCACCAATACATATTCCCATACCATTTGCCATATATTTACATAATAGAGTAAGAATATCATAATGTTGGCTTTTTTTTTTTTCCAGGATTGATCATGTCCAATGGCCAAACATGGAAGGAGCAAAGAAGGTTTACCCTGGCGACACTAAGAAACTTTGGTCTAGGAAGAAAAAGCTTAGAGGAACGCATTCAGGAGGAAGCCCATTACCTCATCCAGGCAATAGAAGAAGAGAATGGTGAGTAGTTTCCTAGGACAGATGCAGGAGATTGTGACTCATTCATTCACTCACTGAACAGATACTTACTAAGTGCCTAAGTACCTACCTTGTGCACAGCACCATGCCAGGCACTGAGATTACTACAGTGAACAACCAGTCATGAACCTGCCTTCACGGAGCTCTAGGGTTACGCACAAGAAGACTGGTATTAAACACATTACTGATTTTAAACGCTGGTCATTAGTATGACTTCCCAGGTATTGATCGAGTGTCCTCACTGTATGTCAGACCCTGTGTAGGGGGCTGTGGTCAGAGCCTCACAGGCAGGTCTATACTCAGCATGTTAAATGTCATGAAGAGCAGACTCTCAGTAGAAAACAGAAACAAGCGAATCAAAGGATTCATCTCTTCTTCCACCTCCAGGACAGCCTTTCAACCCTCACTTCAAGATGAACAATGCAGTTTCCAATATTATTTGCTCGATCACCTTTGGGAAGCGCTTTGAGTATGAGGATGAACAGTTTCAGGAATTGCTGAGGTTGCTGGATGAAGTCACATGTCTGGAGGCATCAATGAGATGCCAGGTAAGGGGTTCTCTTTCTGCATCTTGGACAAGAATACTGGAGCTGATGTGAGACACAGATGGGTTCCTACTAAATATCATCTTTTTGTTTAAGCTAAAGTTATCACCTTTTATTTTATTTTTTTTAAGTTATCACCTTTTATAATTGACTTCAACTCAAACTTACTTGAAATCAATCTGTCGACTTTAGTGTTTTTGTTTTTGTTTTTGTTTTTTAAAGATTTTATTTATCCATTTGACAGATGGAGATCACAAGTAGGCAGAGAAGCAGGCAGAGAGAGAGGAGGAAGCAGGCTCCATGCTGAGCAGAGAGCCCGATGTGGGGCTCGATCCCAGGACTCTGAGATCATGACCTGAGTTGAAGGCAGAGGCTTTAACCCACTGAGCCACCCAGGTGCCCCGACTTTAGTGTTTTTTGATATTATTGGATATTGACTACATACAAAGAACATTTCTAACATGGCATGCAAAGAATAAAATGTCCATATTATATACCTATACATCCATGTCATTTTATCTAAAAGCAGGATATTGTCACTGCCTTTGGGTCCCGCCCCTCCATGTCCCTCCCTAACCCAGCCACTCTGCTGGCGCCAGAAGTACTCTTCTGTGCTTGGCTTCTCCCCTGGCAGATTGTTTGCAGATTATCTGTGTCAGTTGCTCTTTTCTTTTTAAAATTCTGAATAGTATTTCATGGTACGAATATGCCACTCTTTGTTGCTCTATTCTCTATTGATGAACATTTGGGTTGTTTCCAGTTTGGGGATGTTATGGATAGTTGCCATGAACATTCTTGTACCCTTGTTCATGTGGACATGCCCACTCATTTCTCTTGAATTTATACCTGGACGTAAAAGATGCCTAAAGGTTTCAAAAGCAGTTACACTACTTACCTGCCCATCCACACTTGACATTATCAGTCTTCTCATTCCATAGGGTATAGACCTTTGGGGTTCAAACATCACCCTTTCCTTGGTGGACCCTGCTCTCCATTTTGTCCCTCTGGGTCTGTGAGTCTGTCAGAAACTGCTCAGCTTCTTGGTCTCTCAACCACTTTCCTGGATTTGGAAGACACTTCTATGGGAAAAGTGGCCCTGTTAAGGCCACCTCTCTAGTATCTAAGAGTGGATTTATTTTTATTTATTCCTGACAAGCATCTTTGCCTGGAGCTTTATGGACCCATTGCATCAAAACCAATAAAGCAGTTAGCGTGATTCCTGACACATTTGAAGTATGCAGTGAATGTGAGCTATTATTATTGTCAAAGCTATTTTGAATTCCTTGTTCTCATTTCTAGTCACAGCAGTCCCAGTTCAATAATTCCATGTTCTCCAGTCCTCTTAAGACAGAAAGTCATAAGAGTTCAATGGGTACCCAGCTGATGTTCCCCAAGGAAAAGTAATTCCCGAGAGGGTAAGCAGGGACAGGAGGGTAAGGTTATTAAGTATTTCTTGGAGTCTCAAAATAGGCCAGGCATCTTGATGGACAAATATAAACTTTATCTCAGTTAATTTAAAAAAAAAAAGAAGATGAAATTTTAAAGATGAAATGACGCATCATGGTGTATACAAGCAGACATGGGAGTGTGTAAGCAAATCCAGATCGTGGTCCACTGGTTTTGTGCTAGGTGCTATATGGATCTCATGTCATCCAGCCACCAGAATAATCCCAGGGCCCCACTGGCAGCTATCTAAACTAAGGAGCAACAAATAGTATCATCATCATCATCATTACCACCAAAATATTATAGTTAAAAAGCAGCAGAGCTAAGGGACCTATATCTGTCTCATTTTAAGTCTAGGTGACTTGCCATTTTGTCTTGCTCCTTCCTACCAGATATTATTAGAGAAAATATTTTTAAAAGTGCTTTCTTTCAGTACAATGTCTTACCTACATGGAGCTTATGTCATAGCAGGGCAGGCAAATACATACACATGAAACACATATATGTATCTTACACACACACACACACACACACACACACACACACACACACACATATTAGTGATGATTACCACGAAGGAGAATAAAACAGGATAAGGGAATGGAGAGAGGGTGGCAGGGGTGCTTATAGGATCATCAGGTTTTAAGACCCCTCCAGGGTGGTGATATTTGGAATAGCACTTTAATGAAATGAAGGGCTGGAGTTCTACAGATTTCAGAGGAAGAGCGTTCTAGCTGGAAGGAATAGCAAATGCAAAGGCCCAAACAAGAACATCCTTGATGTCATCATAGAGGCCAGTGGTGCTACGCTGGAGTGAGTGAGAGTAAGATGGCAGGGATTGATAGCAAAGGGGGTGACGGTTGTGTGTGGGGGGGTGGGCAAGGAGGGGTTGGCTGGTGCATGCAGAGCTTATGTCAGGAGAATGATGTAGAGTCATAGAAAGTCACTTGAGGATTGAGAGCCAAGAAGTAAAATGATCTGACTGAACTATTAAATGATGCCTCTGGCAGCTCTGTGAAAAACAGACTGGGAGTGGGTTAAGAATGGAATCAGTGAAGCTGAAGGAGGCTGTCACAGCACCCACGTAAGAAATGTTGATTTGTACTAGGGGACAATATGGCTGGGGCAGTGAGATGTGGATACACTTTGGATGGAGTGCTGAAATGCTTTGCCAGCAGGTGAGAAGAGAATGAGAGAGAAGAGTTAAGGTGACCCAAGTTTTAAGAGCAAATAAATGAAAGATAGAGATTATCAATTATTTTGTCTTGAAAAATGGGCATCAGATTGTCTCTATGAGTGTTTTGTTTTTCTCAATTAGCTCTACAATCTCTTTCCATGGATTATGAAATTTCTTCCTGGACCTCATCAAACAGTCTTTAGCAACTGGGAGAAACTGAAATTGTTCGTTGCTCATATGACTGAAACCCACAGGAGAGACTGGAATCCTGCTGAACCAAGAGATTTTATTGATGCTTACCTCAAGGAAATAGAAAAGGTGAGGGAACCAAACTTGTTTCTTTGTTCTTAAAGAGCAAATGGGGGTATACTAGTCTCCCATTGCTGCTGTAACAAATTACTATAAACCTGGGGTTTCCAAACAACACAGATCTATTGTCTTTCAGTTCTGGAGGTCAAAAATCTGAAAGCAGTTTCACTGGGCTGGAATCAAGGTGTTGGCAGGGCTGTTCCTTCCAGAGGTTCTAAGAAAGAATCTTTTTCCTTGACTTTTCCTTCTAGAGGCTGCCTTGATTTACAGCCACTTTGTCTATCTTCAAAGCCAGTATGTAGCCTCTTCTCTGCTATCCTTCTTACATCTTCTCTTTATGACCCCCCTTGCCTCCCTCTTATAAAGACTCTTGCAATTACTTTGAATTATCCATAATAATCGTCCCACATCAAGAATCTTAACTTATGGGGCGCCTGGGTGGCTCAGTGGATTAAGCCTCTGTCTTCAGCTCAGGTCATGATCTCAGGGTCCTGGGATGGAGCCCCGCATCGGACTCTCCTCTCAGCAGGAAGCCTGCTTCTCCCTCTCTGCCTACTTGTGATCTCTCTTTCTCTGTCAAATGAATAAATAAAATCTTAAAAAAAAAAAAATCTTAATCGTAACCACAAAGTCCCTTTTGCCATATAAGGTAACATCCACAGGTTTCAGAGATTAGGATATGGACACCTCTGTGGGTCATTACTTAATTTACCACAGGGCAGTCAATATAGAGGCAGCCTCTCATAGAGTGTAGGATCAGCATTAACTCAGGATTGACAAGGTAAGTAGAAATAAAGATAGGGGTTGAACGATATTTGGCTTGAGGCCTTGGGGATGCCCAAATACTGCCTGTTCATCTTCTGTTCTCCATGCTTTGCCCATATCTGAAGGAGCTATATATAAAAGGAAAACTAACAAATATGCTTCAAAGGACTCTTTCATTTTTAGCTGGACCTGTGCCCAGTTGACTGCCCCTTCCCTCAGCCCCCAGCGCAGAACACAAGAAGAGCTAAGCTGGATGCCAGAGTTGAAGCTCAGGGCTTAGGTGGGACTTTTGCCTTCCTCCCTGATCTTCCTACCACCCACTTTCCAATATTATAGGAAAGACGCAGGGAAAAGCCACATTGGGGGGACTGCCTTTAGCACAGTAACCCCTGCAGTCAACGAACATCCAGGCATCAGTGTCGTAATCTTTCACTCGTTAGCTTAGTTGAACCTCCTCTTGGGGTTGATAGATTGGTGGATTTCTATCCACCTCCTCTTTTGTTTCACCATATTGGATAACATTAGTAGAAGCACTGATCTCTCCACAGAGGAGGAGACTTTCCTTTCTATATGTTGTGCAGGTATGGGGCCACACATTGAGAGGTCTGTTGACAAATTGAAGCTTCCAGGGGAAGGTGACAAAGATGTTGGAGGGCTGTGAGGTTGATGGAATCAACCTTTCTTGGTTTCACCTAGAAAGGAAGAGATTAACAGGGAAATATGAGAATTGTTTTACATAAGAGGAATTCAATTTATTCTCCCTGGTATCAGTACAAGCATGTGTTGAGTATTTGTAACGTGCTCTTTATATCTCATGTAATTCATAATACCATCTTAAAGGGCATGTGTATTTCATTTCTCTTTTTTGAAACAGGAAACTGAGGTGCAGAGAGATTAAGTGACTTACCCCAGGGTCATGCAGATAGTGCACAATGATATAGCTAATATTGGAATCCAGGCCTGTCTTTCTATTAAACTGTTTCTCTTTCCACTCTACTAATAGATTCTCCCAAATTATAGGCATAAACGAAAAAGTTATCTTGATTTTCATCCACCAAAGCCAACAAAAGCTTCCAGCACTTGGGGCAGGAGGATGCTAATGATATTGTGTAATAAGCCTCTACCTCTTGAGCTGGCCAAGAGGGATCTTTTCTTCCATGTTCTCACCCTAGGGTAAAGCCCCTGTGTATTGTAGCAACCAAGAACCAACTGAATAAACCAATAAACATTGTGCTTTCTAGAACAGGGACAATGCTACATCAAGTTTCCATGAAGAAAACCTCATCTATAGCACCCTGGACCTCTTCTTCGCTGGAACCGAGACAACTTCAACAACACTGCGCTGGGGTCTGCTTTACTTGGCCCTCAACCCAGAAATCCAAGGTGAGCATGTCAGTGAGTGTCCCTGGGCCAGGACAGAATGGTACCTCCTGGAGCATACTGCCCCCTAGCCGGGGCTAGAAGATAGCATGGTAGAGTGAAAAGCTAGGACAATCATGAAGTGATATGGACTTGAAAACGGGTATCGTCTTCAGTTTTTCTGTTGGATTCGGATGGGTTCACATCATAGCAATATAACAAAGTCTCTGCCCTCAGGAAACTCAGAGTCTAGAGGGGAGGCAATGGAGTCAATTGACATTGTGGTGAGTTCCAGGAAAAGACTGACATTCTTACATGAAATCTGGTTACAGCCTTCCATCCTTGTAGGTAATGTATTCTGTTTCCCTGTGGCTAATGTTCAAACTCCTTAGTCTGGCATATCATGCCCTCTGATGTGCCCCTTCTGTCCAGCCTCAGCTCCACCCACCCTGCATGGTGGTCTCACTAAATTACATGGTTGTTTTTTGGTTTTTGTTTTGTTTTGGTTTTTGGGTTTTTTTTGTTTTGCACTGTCCTTATTTATGCCTCTGCCATCAGGACTGCTCTTCCCTTTACCACTTGTGTAGTTCCCCAATTTCTCTATATGGCAAATCACCAGATGGCGCTTGAAGAAATCTGCTCAAATACAACCTCCTCTAAGATGTTCCCCCATGCTTGTAGGAAACTACTTCCTTTAAAGATGACTTTAGTATTAGGATTATTTTCCTCCTCTAGAGATGCCCTAATATGCCTCCACTGCTGTGCTGATTGCACATTATTCATGTATCTTCCCCAAAGACTGTTGTCCATTCAAAGCAGTGACGGTTGTAATCTTCTTCTTCTTTTTTTTTTTTTCCTCTAGGACCCAGAACAGTTTGAGCATATGAGAGACGGGATATTAGGATACAGTTTTTCAAACTGTGGGTAACAGTTTATTAATGGGACATAAAATCAATTTAGTAGACCAAGACCAACATTTTTCCTAAAATAAAAATAGAATAGAAAAGATCAGAGTACTTCCCATGTAGTAAGGATAAGTTTGTTCATGAAACTATTTCTTTCCATAATTATACATAGAAGTATGTTTTATATGTGTGTATATTTGTGTTTATGTGCCTTTAGTCATGATGTAAAATGCTTTTAGAACTATGAATTATATTTTCTAAAAAGTTGAAAAGCTACCTCATTAGGATATAGATTTGGCTTCTGTAATAGGGTCTCTAAAATAACAATAGCTTAAAATGATGGATGTTTATACCCATCTTCATAGCAACTTTATTCACCACAACTAAAAGACAGAAGCAACCCAAGTGTCCATCAATGGAAGACCGGATAAACAAAACTATTCAGTCTGAAACAGGAAGGAAATTCTGACACATGCTCTAACATGGATGAACCTTCAGGACATTATGCTAAGTTAAAGAATACAGTCACAAAAAGACATATACTGATAGTTCCATTTATATGAGGTTTCTAGAGTAGCCAAATACATAGAAAAAGAAAGTAGAATGGTGGTTTCCAAGGGCTTCAGGTAGGAGAAAATGAGGAGTTATTGTTAATGGATGTACAGTTTCAGTTTTTCCAGATAAAAATTCTGGAGATTGGTTGCACAATGTGATTTTATACACACACACACACACACACACACACACACACACACACATATGTGTATATATATATATATATATATATATATATATAATCATTAAGCTGTATGCTCAAATATGGTTAATATGGTAAATTTTATGTCACATATGTTTTACCACAAGTTTAAAAATATTTTAAATGGCCAGTGAGAAAGAAATTCACTTTATCTATTTCTCTCTAAAGTAAAAAAGCCTGAGCTGGACTCTGCAGAGCCCTCTGGTTCTAAGGTCCTCCCAACATGTTGCTCTGTTGTATCTAGAATGATGCCCTTGTTTGCACTCTCAAAGGCTCACCTCAAGGGCCGCTTTCCTCAAAGAGGAAGGGAAGAAGGGAAGAAGGAAATGCATACCCTTCCTTTAAGGATATGTTTTAAGTATTAAACATCCCTTTTACATAGAGTCTGTTGACCAGAACATAGTCACGTGGTCACACTTAGTCACAAGGGAATCTGGGAAATGTAGTCTATAACTAGGCAACCAGGAGTCCCGCTAAAATCTCTACTATTGTAGAAAAAGAAAAAAGAGGAAAATAGGTATATTGGGGCACAGCTAGAATTTTCTTTGACTTGCTGGGGGCTCACCTAAACTAGTTCATGTAAATCTCAAGATCTCCTTAAGAGGAATGTAGATCATCCTCACTAAGAGAAAACAGAGGCTCAAAGAGTTTTTTTTTTTTTTTTTTAAGATTTTATTATTTATTTGACAGAGAGAGAGATCACAAGTAGGCAGAGAGGCAGGCAGAGAGAGAGAGGGGGAAGCAGACTCCCCACCAAGCGGAGAGCCGGATGTGGGGCTCGATCCCAGGACCCTGGGATCATGACCCGAGCTGAAGGCAGAGGATTTAACCCACTGAGCCACCCAGGCGCCCCTCAAAGAGTTTTTAAGTAACTTGCAGCAGTAATGCTGCAAAGCAAGAGTTTGCAACCAGATATATCTAAATCCAGGCTCACTTTTCACTCTGAAATACTCCTGAGAAACCGGAGTCTATAGTGCCTGCTATAGTTTTAGCCTTTTTTCTTTCTTTTCTTTCTTTCTTTTTTTTTTTTTTTAGTCATTTTAATCCTGATTATTCCATTCTTCAGCTTAATCAGGCTTAAGGAAGGTTGTGGAATAATAGAATAACAGAACTTTCTTTTCCAGAAAAAGTCCAAGCTGAGATCGACAGGGTGATTGGTCGGTCACAGCTGCCGAGCTTAGCCACTCGAGAGTCTATGCCCTACACCAATGCTGTCATCCACGAGGTGCAGAGAATGGCAAACATCATCCCCCTGAACGTGCCCAGGGAAGTGACAGGTGATACCACGCTCGCTGGATACTACCTGCCCAAGGTAACCAGGGACTCCCAGCCTCAGATCCTCAAGCCCATCTTTTGAAATGGTAGAAACTGTGACCCATACCCTTGTTCTAGGGAATCCTTTACATGCGAAGAGTGCTGTGTTACACCTGAGATAATACTGGCTTTTTCCCCTATGTGTGGTGTTTGGAACGTTAATTCAACTAGACATTAACAGGTATTTCGGAGGGGAAGGAGGATTCCATGGTCAAGTATGATTAGGCAAAGACCGGCTTTTCTTTGCTGTGGGATGTCTCTGATTTTTGTTTTTTAACCATGTGATGTGCATTATGGATCTTTGTGCGAATACAGCAAGCGGCAATTCTCGGTCAGACTTTGTCGTGGGGCCCTTTGCTTTGCCAGGGTGGAGTTTCTCACAGCACTAGGGACCTGCCAGACCTGGAAAATTCTGCTTCATAATCATGGGGTTATAGAATATTGAAGAATGAAGGGACATTTGAGACTACCTGGGCCAATATCACATTCATGCTGGTGTTTCTAGCATGGTAGTGCCCACAAGTATTTTTCCGGCTTTTACCTACAGCCCTGTGTGGGGCTGTGTCACAGGGGAAACCAATCCAGGCTGGTGTGATATTAATTATTCAGAAGGGAGAGAAGGGAACTGATGCTTATTAAGCAAGGAGTGTGTGTCCTGGACTCTTGTATATTCTTTCAGAAGGTCTTAATCAGTCCTCGGAATAACTGTTATCACCACTTAATAAATTCGGAAATTGAGGCTCCGGAGTGATTAACCTAGTGTAAGAGCTCAACTACGAAGTGACAAGAGTAGAGTTCCAGAGGCAGATCTGTTCCATTTCCCAGATGCATCTTTTCTGTACGACACCATGTTCTCTCCATGGGAGCTGCTTTACTTGCCCTTTAAAAGAGTCTCTCTGCAGTTATTTTCGGTTGGTCTCTGTTAAATTCCTATCCTCACAAAGGAGATTCTTTTTTTAAAATTCTTTATTTAAATTTAATTTAATTAACATATACTATATTAGTAGTTTCAGGGGTCGCATTTAGTGATTGATCAGCTGCATAGCACACCCAGGGCTCATTACACATCAAGTGCCCTCCTTAATGTCCCTCACCCAGTTACCCCATCCCCTCACCCAGCCCCCCTCCGGCAACCCTGTTTGTTTCCTAGAGGTCACCATCTCTTATGGTTTGCTTCCCTCTTATTTTCATCTTATTTTATTTTTCCTTCCCTTCTCCTCTGTTCATCTGGTTTGTTTCTTGAACTCCACATATAAGTGAAATCATATGATACTATTCTTGGACTTATTTCACGTAGCATTACACCATCTAGTTCCATCCACGTTGCTGCAAATGGCAAAATGCCATTCTTTTTGATGGCTAATATTCCATTGTTTATATATACTACACCTTTATCCACTCATCTATTGACATCTGGGCTCTTTCCATATTTTGGCTATTGCGGACATTGTTGCTATAAACATTGGGGTGCAAGTGCCCTTTCAAATCACTAGGTTTGTATCCTTTGGATAAACACCAGGTAGTACCATTGCTGGGTTGTAGGGTAGCTCTATTTTCAGCTTTTTGAGGAATTTTCATACTGTTTTCCAGAGTGGCTGCACCAGCTTGCATTCCCACCAACAGTGTAGGAGGGTTCCCCTTTCTCTGTATCCTCACCAACATCTGGTTTCCTGAGTTATTCATTTTAGCCATTCTGACTGGTGTGAGGTTGTATCTCATTATGGTTTTGATCTGTATTTCCCTGATGCCCAGTAATGTTGAACATTTTTTCATGTGTCTGTTGGCCATTTGTATGTCTCCTTTGGAGAAAGGTCTGTTCAGGTCTTCTGTGCATCTCTTGATTGGATTATTTGTTCTTTGGCTGTTGAGTTTGATAAATTCTTTGTAGATTTTAGATACTAGCCCTTCATCCGATAAGACATTTGCAAATATCTTCTCCCATTCCGCAGGTTGCCTTTCGGTTTTGTTGACTGTTTTCTTTGCTGCGCAAAGCTTTTGGTCTTGGTAAAGTCCCCATAAAGCATTTTTGCTTTTGTTTCTCTTGCCTTTGGGGACGTGTCTAGCAAGAAGCTGCTGCCGCCAAGGTCAGAGAGGTAACTGCCTATGTTCTCCTCTAGGATTTTGATGGATTCCTGCCTCACATTGAGGTCTTTCATCCATTTTGAATTTATCTTTCTGTATGGTGTAAGAAAATGGTCCAGTTTCATTCCTCTACATGTGGCTAATTTTCCCAGCACATCTGTTGAAGAGACTGTACTTTTTCCATTGGATATTCTTTCCTGCTTTGTTGAAGATTAGTTGACCACAGAGTCATTGAGGGGCCATTTCTGGGTTCTTTATTCTGTTCCATTGATCTATGTGTCTGTTTTCGTGCCATGCTGTCTTGATGATGACAGCTTTGTAATAGACCTTCAAGGCTGGCATTGTGATGCCCTAAGCTTTGGTTTTCTTTTTCAATATTCCTCTGGCCATTTGGGGTCTTTTCTGGTTCCATACAAATTTTAGGATTGTTTGTTCCAGCTCAGTGAAAAACGCTGATGGCATTTTGATAGGTATTGCACTGAATCTGTAGATTGCTTTGGGTAGCATAGACATTTTAACAATATTTGTTCTAATCCATGAGCATGAATGTTTTTCCATTTCTTTATGTCCTCCACAATTTCTTTCCTAAGTGTTCTATAGTTTTCAGAGTACAGATCCTTTACCTCTTTGGTTAGACTTGTTCCTAGGTAAGTTATGGTTTTTGGTGCAATTGCAAATGGGATCCTTAATTTCTCTTTCTTCTGTCTCACTGTTAGTGTATAGAAGTGCAACTGACTTTTATGCTTTGATTTTATATCCTGTGATTTTGCTGAATCCCCATTATCAGTTCTAGCAATTTTGGGGTGGAGTTGTTTGGGTTTTCTACATAGAGTTATCAAGTCATATGCGAAGAATGAAAGTTTGACTTCTTCTTTGCTGATTTGGATGCATTTTCTTTTTGTTGTCTGGTGCTGATGGTGGGACTTCCAGTACATTTTAAACAATAGTAGTAAGAGTGGACATCCCTGCCATGTTCCTGATCTTGGAGGAAAAGCTCTCAGTTTCTCCCTCTTGAGGTTGATATTTGCTGTGGGTTTTTCATATGTGGCTTTTATGATATTATGTTCCCTCTATCCCTCTATCCCAACATGGCAGAGAGTTTTTATCAAGAAAGGATGCTGTACTTTGTCAAATTTTTCTTTTCCTGCATCTACTGAGAGGATCATATGGTTCTCATTCTTTCTCTTATTAATGTATTGTATCACATTGATTGATTTGCTGATGTTGAACCAACCTTGCAGCCCAGGAATAAATCCCAATAGGTCGTGGTGAATAATCCTTTTAATGTACTGTTGGATCCTATTACTAGCAATGAGAATTTTTGCATCCATGTTCATCAGTGATATTGGTCTGTAGTTCTTTTTTATTGTTATCTTTGTCTGGTTTGAGGATCAAGGTCATGCTGGCCTCACAGAATGAGTTTGGAAGTTTTCCTCCTATTTCTTATCTTTTGAGACAGTTTCAGAAGAATAGGTATTAATTCTTCTTTAAATGTTTGGTAGAATTCCCCTGGGAAACCATCCAGTCCTTGACTCTTGTTTGTGGGGAGATTTTTGATTACTGATTCAATTTCCTCACAAAGGAAACTTTGTTCTCAAGCTGCTCACCAGTCTTAAGATTTCCGCTGAAAGCTCGGCCCCCTGGTGTCCTCTCTGCACACTGCACACACAGTTCCTTTTCTTTCTTTCTTTTTTTTTTTTTTTAATTTTTTAAATTTATTTTCAGCGTAACAGTATTCATTGTTTTTGCACCACACCCAGTGCTCCATGCAATCCATGCCCTCTCCAATACCCACCACCTGGTTCCCCCAACCTCCCACCCCCCCCCTTCAAAACCCTCAGATTGTTTTTCAGAGTCCATAGTCTCTCATGGTTCACCTCCTCTTCCAATTTCCCTCAACTCCCTTCTCCTCTCTAACTCCCCTTGTCCTCTATGCTATTTGTTATGTTCCACAAATAAGTGAAACCATATGATAATTGACTCTCTCTGCTTGACTTATTTCACTCAGCATAGTTCTTAATCAAGGTCTTGGTCGGCTTCTGTGGATCCATTCCAATTTGTCTAGGTCCCTCTGTGTGTGTCTTACCTGGGGACAGAACCGGAGGCGCTTACCCATTCCTATACCTATTCCTACAGCTGTTTCCATTCACTGTTTTCTTACTGATTGACATCTTGTGGGTGAAGGCTGAGGTCTGAATTATTTCACAGGTGCTGTTTGCATTTTTCTAGCAATTCGTTTAGCTCAACGGAGTCATTCTACCACTGATTTTTAATATCAGCTTTAATAAAGACCATGGGAACTAGAAATCTCATTGACTGTACCTTATAGAGGCATGGAGCCATGGCTTTGACGTAAACTAGACCTTGTACAAATCATGGCTCTCCTTCCACTGCATGAGTCTGGGCATGTCACTTCATGTCTCAGAGCTTAGACTGACTTATCCTTACAATTTTAAAACTACTCCAGAGGTGGAGATAAAATGAGATCATTCATGTAGTGTTTAGAAAATGCTCAAAATAGCCATTATTTCTTTAGTAATTTAATAAATATCCATTAAGCATCTAAAATGCCCCCAACTAGGAAAACAACTCTGAATAAAGTAATCATGCAAGTATATACTTACAAACCATGATAAATGCTCAGCTGGGAGAACTCGCTGGTTTCCATAAAGATACAGGCCCGCTGGAACCAGGAGTAGAGGGCTTCCAAAGGGAAGTGTTTGAGCTGAGGATTAAAGGATGATTGAGAGTTAGCTCAGTGATAGAGAAAAAAGGCATTCCAGGCAAGGTGAAGAGCTTGTAAAAAGCCCTGGAAGTGAGTAGGAACATAGCATTTTTGAGAAACTGAAAGCAGGCCTCTGTAGTGTGAACGCAGGTAGAAGGAGAGCAGTCCAAAAGGGAGTCAGCAGATGAGTCTCTCAGCTAAGGGTGGTGGGAAGCTACTGAAAGGTATTCAAGATGTGGGTGTGTGGATGGGTGTGGCATCACTAAATCCTGTTCAAAGCTCACTCTATGTTTAGAGTGTGGAGCAGATCAAAAGGGGAGAGGTTATGGGCATAGATGAGTAGCTCCTGCAGGGGTATAAGCAAGGCAACTGGTATCCCTGTGTAAGAAGCAGGGGTGGGCATAGAATGGAGGCAACAGAATCAAGAGACATTTAAAGAAAAATTGAGCAGCCTCACTGAAGAATTGGATGAAGGCAGAAAGAGGGAAATGGAGGCAATATGGAGGACTCCTGGGTTTCTTGCTATGTACCTGGATGGATAGTGGTTCCTTTCACTGACGTACCTGATTCTATTATTCAACCTCCTATGGAGTGTACCAGACCCTGGAGGGAAGAGAATGGGAGAAAACGAGATGAAGGAGATATCTTTTACCTGGATAGAGCTGCCGCAGTTGTCACTTGCCTGAGCGGCTGGGTGATTTTCATGTGATGGTACTGACTAGCCAGCTGCTGTGTTATTCTCTCGTTGATGCAGATATGTCCCTGTAGGAAGATCCCTTCTGCAGTCAATAGAAGCTACACTTCCCTGGTCAAATGCCCTGCAAGCCCATCACTTTAAGCTGTCCCATCACAAAGAGCAGGGGCCAGGGTGGATGGGAGAGGGACTGGGCTCGGAAGACAGTGAGTTGGGGAGGGTGAGGGAGTCCGTGGGGTGTGGTGTGATCAGCCCCTGGTGTAGGAGTCAGGGGACTGCTACTCTTCTGAGGAGGTGTGTTGTGTGGGTTAAGCCTTGCCTGAGTCTTTGCTGCCTTCTCCAGGGGACCATGATCCTGACCAATCTGACTGCAGTGCACAGGGACCCTGCAGAATGGGCCACCCCCGACACATTCAATCCGGAGCATTTTCTGGAGAATGGACAGTTTAAGAAAAGGGAAACCTTTCTGCCTTTCTCAGTAGGTGAGTTGTAAACAAATAGGAGTGTCCGAATCCAGAGTCCCTCTCTTAGCCCTCCCCCTCCTCTTCTCCCTGCTACACGTTACACAGAGCCCACACTAATGGAATACACGATAGTCTGCTCATCATTAACTTAAAAATAAATATAAATTGGTTTTGTGGTCCACTATCATTTTGCTGATGACACTAAGGCTTCCAAGGGGAGGAACTGGAATTTGAACCCGTGTGGTATGACCTGAAGCCCAAGGGGCACACCGCCCTGAGTGTACCTGGACGGATTCTGATTAGATCTTCTTTGTCTTACTTCACCTCATTCTATGTCATCTTTGCCCACATTGGACAAGTCCCTTCCTAATAGAAAAGCTGCTATGAGATGTAGGAATATCTTCCAGTCTTCTGTCTACAGTAGCTTCAAAGTTCGAATTTCAGTACCAAGTCCCAGCTGTAAATTTCAAGGATTATAATTATTCTTGCCTCACTGGGGCTCTGCTATTGAGAATTTTATCATACCCTCTTAATTACAGACTTCATTTGCAAGCACATGATCTCACTTAATCTTTGCAGCAACCCAGTTATTAATAATTAGACAGGAAAGTAAGCTATATTTCCATTCTTAACATAAGAAAATGAAGAATAAGGGAGTGGTTTCTTATCCAAGATCCTGTGCCCCAGGAATTGGCAGAACAGGGGTCCAAGACTCAAGGTTTTATGCTTCTGGTCTACTGCTGTCTTCACCACAACTGGAATCTAACTTATCTTCCCACTTAAAGGCCCTTCCACTTTGATTCAGAATTCATCCCACAGCTATCAGTTAGCATACACATGTATAACAGTCCACAAACTCAGTGGCTTAAGACAATAAGTTATTAAAACAGTATTATTGCTTACAAGTCTATAGTTCAGCTAGGTAGCTCTGCTGGGTCTTAGCTGAGTTTGTTTGTGTGTTTGGGAGGTCAGCGGCTGAACAGCTGATCTAGGATGACCACAGCTGGAACAACAAAGCTTTCCACATTACCTCTCATTCTTTAGCAGCTAGCCTGGTTTGTTTAAATGTTGGTGTTAAGATCCCGAGAGAGAGAATGGAAGCATAAAATGTCTCTTAAGGCTCAGGCTGCGGACTGACATTCTGTCACTTCCACGGCATTCTGTTGGCCAGTGCAAGTCATAAACTCAGTCCCAACTAGGGGAGTGGAAAATACTATAATTTTTGGTGGGAAAGGGTATGAAGTCACATAACAGATGGTGTGAGTACATCGAGAAGACAGGAATTGGAGCCGGTTTGCAGTCAGTTTTATCCCTGTGATGGAGAAGAATGAAATTCAAAGAAGGCAAACAATTTGGGGATTCCCACAGGAGGTGTGACAGAATGCGGGTTAGTTGAACAGAAGAAACAGAAATCTAAAATATCCAATGAGTTAAGAAAATGTCAGCACACTGTTTTTTTCTTTCCCACCCCACTCCCATCTTTGGCACACAGTTGCTTTTCCTGCTTCTTGGTCTAGCACTTTCTGGAAGACAGCCTCCCTGAAAGAATGAGATATGGACGGCCCCTTCTTTTTTCTTGGGAAAGAAGACCATGTGTGATATTACTACTTGTGCATAACCAGGGAATATTGTGACGCTATTTTGGCAAATTCCTATTTTCTTTTCCTCACTAAAGTCCTTCCAGGTGGATCTGACATGGCAGCAGGCAGCTTCATGAAAGGCAAGAGTTTGGTTCCTTATTTTTCAGATAAGCTCATTTGGTCATAGAGGATGAGGTTAGGAAGAACTTTTCCCAAAACACCTAGGTCATCTCCCTCATTTTACCAGTGAAGTAATCAACCTTGTTAGTTGGTGATAGCCAGGTGGTGGGAGTACCAAGAAGATACCAGTTTCCTGTGATCCGGGCGGAAGGTTTGAGAGGAAGCAATCCTCATTTTCATGCTTTGAAAAGAAAATTCCTGCTTGTCATCTTCTTGGTATCATTACCCAGCTGGTCACATGATACAGTTCGAAGAGAGATTATTTCATGGATTTGACAAGTGGGAAAAATTTAGCTCTGTGAGATGAATTTGCTTACTACCCACAGCTGGTTACTGATGGAAACAGTACTTTAACCCTGGTTTCTGACTATCTGGGTCCAGCTTTGTCATCATGAATGGATTCTTCTAGGAGAATCTTAGTATTCACAGGACAGCTGACTAGGTACCATTTTAACAAATTTGCTCATCATGCTATGTGTGATGGGTAAAGAGATAAAGACAGAGGGAACAGAGATGAATGAGACACATGCTGGTAGGAAACACAGGCCCCAAATAATGAATAGCAGCATAATTGTATTGCACGTTTACATTTACTAAACACTTCTGCATGTGTTACCTAATTTTATTTCCTCAACAGCCCCTTCTAGGCAGAGGACAAAATGGAGGCATGCATACATTAATGAGTTTTCAAGAGTATTTAATTACATGGGAAAATACAAAGTAGCACATGCAGCACAGAGAATTAACTACAGAGAATTATACCAGTTATAGTGTCCAGGGGGATCCCCATAAGGACAGTGAGGAAATATGTCAGAATGTTAACAAGGGTTCTTGTCAGGATTATGGGATTATAACCATCTTTTACATCTTTTATCATCTTTATACCTTTCCTTTTCATGCATTTAAAAAAAAGTCTGTGGTGAATATGTATTACTTGGGAAGAAAGTAAGTTATCATAAACACACATACAAAAGAGATGGCAGTAGTGGAACTGCAGGTTGTTGCAAGGGAGAGGACAGTAGAAGCCTAGAGCGGGAGTCAGAGCACAAATGAGATGAGGTGGGGTCTTCACAGGGTGGCTGTGGTGGTGATGGGTCATATACAAGGGATACTGATCCAATAAGTAAACCTACTGCCAATAATGGGAGGAAGTTACAAATAGGGAAAGAGAGAAGATAGAATGAACTCTGGTGTTGAGTTGGAACCAGAGGTTATCGATATGAACTCAGATTTCTGATAGGTAGGTAGGCAGATTTAGAAATAAATATAGATGTAAACATGGATACATATACATATATTTAAATAAATACTCGCAGTACATACATACAGATTCCCCAGCTCTAGCCGCTGATGTGCACTGAGAGCAACACTTCCCTGATATCAGCAAGCATGCCAAATGCCCAGATCTTGGTTTCTAGATATCATTATATCATTATCCACTAAAAGGAACTTTGACTTTAGAAAGATGGCTGATTCTATGGTTGGGAAAGGGAAAGGGTAAGATGAGCCTGAAACACACTGTTGTGCCCAAAAGTTAAGGAAATACCAGCTTGAATGGGCAGCTAATAGCCAAGTCTGGAACATCTTGAGCATCAAAACAAATAATGATAACAAATTATAACCCTTTGAATAAAAATAGGAATCTCTGAACTCATACTGATATAAATGGGTAGAAAAGTGGGTACAAGTGAAAGCATTTCCTTTAGTAGAATTCTAGCTAATAGATGTGGAAAGAATGATGGAATTTTAAAGCTCATGACTTGGCAACCATTAGAGTAATAAATAATTTAGCCAAGAGATAGCAAGGGAAACTAGTGGATGAAAGGTCAGTGAGGAATGGCTCATTAACATAGTCTTAAAGTATTTACTAGTTACAAAGAGAAAAATAATCATTTTACAGGGGAAAATTTGGTAGACACCACCTTAATCGAGTGACCAAAGTTAACACCACCAATAACGGGACAAATCAAAACTGTGTACCACCCAATAGAAGGAAATGAGAACACAGCCTCACTTTGGTGTTACTCCTATCAGAAATGCATGACCTCATGACCTGAATCAAATCATGAGGAAACATGAGAGGCATTTACCAAGTAATCTGTTTGTTATCTTCAAAAAAGCCAGTCATATAGACCTGGTGTGGATACACACACACACACACACACACACACACACACACACACACGAATAGTATTCAGCCATAAAAAAGAATGGACTCTTGGGGGAGGAGTCAAGGACTCTTGGCGGAGAAGTAGCAGGCTGAGACTACTTCAGGTAGCAGGAGATCAGCTAGATAGCTTATCTAAAGATTGCAAACACCTACAAATCCAACGGGAGATCGCGACGGGAAGATAGACCGTGGGGGGAGGGGCCGGCTCCCGGCAAGCGGCGGAGCAACGGAGCACAAAATCGGGACTTTTAAAAGTCTGTTCCGCTGAGGGACATCACTCCAGAGGCTTAACCGGGGTGAAGCCCACGCAGGGTCAGCGTGGCCTCAGGTCCCGCAGGGTCACAGAAGGATCGGGGGTGTCTGAGTGTCGCAGAGCTTACAGGTATTAGAACGGGGAAGCCGGCTACAGAGACAGAGCCGAGGAGTAAGCTCTAAGCTCGGGGTTACCTTGAACGGGTCGCAGGCTCTGTCAGCTCGGAGCGCGGCCGGAAGCAGGGTGACGGGAGTAAATCGGCGCTGTTCTCTGAGGGCGCACTGAGGAGTGGGTCCCCGGGCTCTCGGCTCCTCCGGGCCGGAGACCGGGAGGCTGCCATCTTCATTCCCGCCCTCCAGAACTCTACGGAAAGCGCTCAGGGAACAAAAGCTCCCAAAAGCAAACCCGAGCAGATTACTCAGCCCGGCCCCGGGTAAGGGCGGTGCAACTCCGCCTGGGGCAAAGACACTTGAGAATCACTACAACAGGCCCCTCCCCCGGAAGATCAACAAGAAGCCCAGCCAGGACCAAGTTCACTTAACAAGGAGAACAGTTTCAATACCAAGGAGAGCAGCGGAATACCAAAGGAGGAGAAAGCAAAGCACGGAACTCATGGCTTTCTCCCCATGATTCTTTAGCCTTGCAGTTAATTTAATTTTTTTTTCTTTTTCAATTTATTTTTC